AAATTTTTTACCCATGCCTCATTATAATTCCTCAGTTATTAGTCGTATTTTTAAAATTAAAAAATCGCTGGAAAGTTGAAAATTTGAAATTTTAGTGTTCATTTCATAAAAAAAAAATATCGAAAACAGTTTTGCATTTTAAAAATTTTTTTTTTCAATATTTTTGATTTTTAGATACAAAACTGTTTCAGATTTTTTCAAAAATATTCGAAAAATTTAGAAACATTTAACTATTTTAGATATATTCAATCACTTGTTTTATAAAAATTTAAAAATCTTTAACAAATTGAATTGAAATATTTTAAGTAATTTAGTCATAATTACCTCGGTACTTTGTGCAGCATGAGAAAATATCCTTTGAAGCAAAAATTATGAAATATTTAATGAAGAAAAATGTCGAAAATGTAAAGAAAAAAAAATTTTTTTTTTTGATGAAATAAAGAAATAATAAAATGTGAAAATATTTTTATATATAAAATATAAGACATATTGAGTTGAACGATTAATATATATATTTTTTGTGTGTATTTTCTAAAAATGAAGTAATAAAAAAAGAAAAATGACGAAACTGAAAAGAAAGGAAGGATATTTTTTTTTTTAATAAATAAATAGTCAAATGTTGGGTAAATTTTATATCAAAATATATTTGTGCATAGACAAGTTGACAACCGTGAAAGGTAATCTCATACACAGCATACGTTTTTCTTATCTCATTCACTCATATCCCAAAAAAAAAAAAAAATTCATTCACGCAAAAAAAAGTCGCTGTCTTTGTTGAAATTCGCAAAATATATATATATTTTTATTTATATATATTTATATAACAATAATAATATTAATAATATAGACCTCTATATTTATATTTGTATAATCTCACTCACTCACACATTTAAGAATCAACAATCGAACGAATAAACAATGAAGCCCGCTTCACACGTTACGGTAACTGTAAAAGTAATGAAAGGGACTTCGGCTTGGCCGAGTGGTCCCAGGTAACGTTCGGCGTAATATTCTTTTTTTATTTTTTTGTGTCCAAAAAAAAACATTGCCTAAAAAATACAATAAACTTACGCAAATATTTTATTTACGCAAAAAAAAAAAAAATTGAAATTAATTTAATTATTCTATGTAATTTCGCTGCTCGTTGACAAACTCCGATTTCGCGCATTTCTATAATAAATTGTGAAAATATATTAAATTTTACGTACATACAAATTCGATAAAATTAATAAAAATATTAGCTATATAATACAAAGGGGGATACGCGTAAGTTGGTATTTTGCGTGTTTCATCGCCGTTTGTTAGTCACGGGGAAACTATAGTATTTATAATAATAATAATAATAATAATTATAATTATAATAAGACATTAAAAATTTTAAACTTAAAAAAAAATATATATATATATATATGTGATAAAAATGAAAAAAAAATACAGAACGAGAGATCTTTCGGAAGACTCGATCGCAAACGGGGTATCTCGGTATTTGTTATTTCAAGGTACTCAGGTATGAGAGCGATAAACTAATTATACTTTTTTATCGATTTACACTAATAACCGTATCTAATCACAACGCCACGTGAACGATGAATTTTTATACTCTCAGGGGTTCTTTGTGCTTTGAGTTAATTTTTTTTTTCAATTTTTTTTTCGCGATGAGTTTCCATCATTCACGTGGTTACAATGTTTGTGTTTGTGTGGTGCGTATGAGCGAGTGTTCGTATTCCAAGAACAAAAAAAAAAAGAAAAAAATTGTGTGAAAGAGGTACAGATGTTCCGTTAGAAAATCAAAATTTCATTCAACGAGTATCACCCAGTCTTTGAACATCAAAAAAAAAAAAAAAAAAAAAAAAACACGTCGTGGTTTTTTGAGAAATTTATCTCTTTTCTTTTTTTTTTAAAAGTCTAAACGTCGCGTTTTCGTGAGTACAGAGATCACAAGATGGCGACGCGGTCCATTTATACATAAGTGACGAACCCCCGCAAGGGTCACGCTCAACAATTTTTTTTACATTTTTCTAGATATAAAAACAAAAAATATTACACCAAGCGTCCTTGTGATTCGTCGCTTTTTTTTTGTTTTTTTTAAAAAGGCACTTTTTGCACTCCGACTTACAGGTTTCTTTGAAATCGAATTCCAAACTGTGAAAGCTTCAATTTTTCTCCATTCTTTTCTTTCTCTTTTCTTTCTTATATTGATAATGAATACGAGAAATTTTTTCGCAAAATTCAAAAAATTTATTTTGTAAACATTTTTTGAACCCAGTCTTTTGGGATCGAATTTTAGAATTTTAAATTAAATTTTAAGATATAAAAATAAATTTCAAGATATTTTAATATTTTTTAAGATATTTTAATATTTTTTAAATATATTTTAAGATATAATTTTAAAATACGATTTTAATATTTTTTCAATACATTATAAGATAGAATTTTAAAATTCGATTTTAAATCGAAATAATTTTCTTCTTTCGAGTTGTATAAATTTTTGGATGATTTTTGAGAAAAAAATTCTCTGCGATCATTGACAATTATAATGTGGATTCAGCGTAATTAATAAAAATCTACATTTTACGCGGTTTTTATAAGCTATTTGTTGGCAGTGCACGAGATCAACTTACGTAATGCTGCCACAAGTGAAGTTTGTAATTCGCCAAGGCCGATGATGCCAACCGGTTCTTGATCTTAGATTGCAGTTCTGATTTACGAATAGCACAAAAAGAATTTAAAAAAAGCAGAAAGACATCTAATACAAGGCACCTTAGTTGTGTTTAATTAAGTATTTTTAAATTATTTTTCATTTTTTTTACTTATAAACAAATATAGATTATTTATAATTATATTGTCTTTCTCTTTTTATGCTCTTCGAGTTTTATATTTAGTAACATCTCTTAGTAACGTTTTCAAAAAAAAAAATTAGTCGATTTACAAATTTTTTACTAAATTCGCTAGAGAATTTACAAATTAACTTCTTTTTATTAAATTATTTGCATTACTTTCATTTCTTTCATTTCTTTCATTTTTTATTTCCCTTATTTCTTTCATCTTAAAATTTTTTTTTATTTCTTTCATTTCTTTTATTTATTTAATTTCTTCCATTTTTTTCATTTATTTAATTTTTTTTTATTATTTCATTTGAAAACTTTTTAGTTTAGAGAGAGAAAACTACAATTATAACTGACAAATATTTTTGAAAAATTCCGAATGGTCAAATGAAGGAATATTTATTTCTTCTATTCGAATTTGAATTTTATTTTGCAAATTTTGGTTTATGAAAATAATGTAAAATTTTTAAGAATAAAATTAAGTATCGAAACAAAATTCAATTTCGTTTTTGCACTTTTTGTATAGTAAGAGAGGTAAAACTTTCACTTTTTGTCAGCAAAAACTTTTTATTCTTAAAGTTAGCGTCGACGTTGAGCGTCTAAACCAAATTTTTTTCGAGTGAAATCGAAAAGAATCTTTCTTTTCTCTTTCTATAGGCGAATAAAGCAAGATTAATCATATTTTTAGAGCTAGAAATAAAAAATAACAGTTTTCGACGCTAATGGTTGACGCTAACTTCGGGAATAGAAAACTTTCGTTCATTTGAACACTGCAGCTAAAAGAATTAATTTAGAACCAATTTGGTTAGGTTTCAAAATTTTATTAAATATTCTAAAATTTGAAAAATTTTGTTTATAATTTTGATCCTTTGGTTACATTTTTGAAATCATCTTTTTTTTTTATTTTAGTAAAATCAGTTCTAATTTAGCTCTTTCTTTATACGTTTCTCGTTTTAGTACCATTACAAGTGGTGCCATTAAGGAAATTTTTAAAATCTTTCAAAGAAAACTTTAGTCTCAAAATTGTTTCAGTTTTGATTTTAAGCCACAAAATTGATTTGTTTTCGATTTTAGGTAATAAAATAGATTCATTTTCGATTTTAAGATACAAAATATTGATTCATTTTCAATTTTAAGTCACAAAACTGATTTTTTTATATTAAGTCAAAAAATTTATTCAGTTTTGATTTTCAGCCACAAAATTTGTTTTATTTTTGATTTTAGGCCACAAAATTGATTTATTTTCGCTTTTAAGTCACGAAATGCTGGTTCATTTTCAATTTTAAACCACGAAATTGATATAGTTTTTTATTTTAAGCCACAAAATGAATTTATTTTTTCTTTGACTCAGTTTTGATTTTAAGTCATAAAAATTAATTTATTTATGATTTTAAGTGACAAAATTGATTCATTTTTGATTTTATATATTTAGAGTTAAAGTTTCAATCAAAGATAAAAATTTGAAAGTTTTATAGCTTTAAATCTCAGATAAAAAATAATTTATATTTTTTAATTATTTTGGCTAAAGATGTAAACTGTTTTAATGTTTATTTCATTTTTGATTTTGTACCCTTTAAGTTAAAGTTTCAATCTGAGTTAAAATTTTGAATGTTTTATTGCTTAAATCTAAGCTAAAAATTTAAGATTAAATCTTAATTGTTGAAGCTTAAATCTATGCTGAAAAGGTTCAATTAAAGATGAAAAATAATATATATTTTTAAATTTTTTTGTGGCTATAGATGTAAACGATTTTACAAATTTTTTTCTTTGTTGATGATGTCAAAAATTGGTTGCATTAGTAAATTAAGATACTAAGATTCTTGAAATTGGAACATGCTCTAAATTAGATCACTTAAAGTGGCATTTATATGGAATAAAAAATTAGAGCACGTGGCGTAAAATTAGAATTAGGTCATAGTATATATTCAACATAAAGGCAACACTTGTAATTGACACTAGGAATATAAACATTACGAATAAGAATTTTTCAATTCTTTATAGTGTATTTTTTATGATTTAGGTTCATACTCTCTAAATTTTTATAATTTAGATTGATACTATCTAAATTTTTATAATTTAGGTTCTCTCTAAATTTTATAATTTAGGTTTATACTCTAAATTTTTATAATTTAGGTTCTCTCTAAATTTTATAATTCAGGTTTATACTCTAAACTTTTATAATTTAGGTCTATACTCTAAACTTTTATAATTTAGTGTTTATACTCTAAACTTTTATAATTTAGGTCTATATCCCAAATTTTTATAATTTACGTTTATACTCTTTAGGATTTTACACTCTCCAAATATGTTTTAGCGAAAATTCACTAATTTCTAGGAATACCACTAATATTAGTATAAGACTAATTTCAAAAAGCGTTTCTTCGCTAATTGGAATCAGTGATATTGTCGCTATTTCAGATTTAGAGAATTTTTAGATTTTAATAATTTCTTTATTATATAAAGAATTATAAAGAAATTGAAAGAAAAAAATTGAAATAAAAAAATCGAAATAAAGAAATTAAAAAGAAGTGATGTTACTAAAGAAGACATCAGAGGCCTTTTTTTTCTCGACGAAAAAGAAAGAAAAGTGTTTGTTTGCGGAAAGAGAGGCGAATGGAGAAACCTGTTAGTTCCGTGATAAAAAGAATACGAACGCGGAAGCGTTTCACAGCCGGATTCCCTTGGAAGAGAGACCAAGGTCGAAGCATATTGGTGCTGATGATGATGATGATGATGATAAATCGCAATGCTACATGGGACCAACCGCGTGCTGTTGGAATTGATCGAGATGCCTGGAGATTTCACGATGAAGTTGTTCGGGAACAACGCCAACACTGCTGAATAATGACCTAAGAACATTGAGTTCCTCAGTGAGGAGTTCAATTCTCTTCTTGAGTAATTCGTTGTCCTTGACAAGGAGTTTAACTTTCTCCTCAGTTTCTCTTGATCGTACCTTCGCCTTTTCTCGACTCTTCCTCACGGCAATATTATTTCTCTCTCTTCGCCTTCTATATTCATCGCTCGCCTTATCCACAGATTTACTTTGCTTTCTCGCAACGGCAGCGGCTGCAGCGGCCGCAGCATGATGCTGATGGGACATTATGGGTTTCATTGTACCCCGATTTTGTTGCTGATGAACGGGATGTGTACCTGGTATCGAGGAGGGCGTCAGGTTGGTGAAGGTTGGACCGCCATTTGTGAATGGTCCATTATTAACGGGACTGTAACCACTTGGTGGAAATTGGGGACAGTGTCGTCGATAATCGGTTGGATCGAGGGGTTCTTCCTTGATGCTCGGCGATTCGGAACTTGAACTATTGCTGTCACTGCAACTACCTTGATGATAACTTGCTCCACTGTGAACGGGTTGTGGCATATAGGCGAGTGTTGTTCGTGGGTAGGTGGGATTTCGGTTGTGCTTGATGGTGCCATTACCACCGTTGAGCATGTCCAGAAGACCATCATTGAAATGGGAGTCATCAATGAGATTCTGGAGGTCTAAGGAGATTTCCGGGGTGTTTAGGTCCGTTAGCTCACCAGCTGCGGCACAATGCTCGGCATATTGTTGATGTAATGATGCCTTACTTGCGGACACTTTACTAACCACCGTACTACCAGTTTGTTGATTGTGATTCACTTGAAGGGCGGAATTGTTGTTCATCACTTGGGATGATTTTTTCATCTCAGGCGGTACCTGAGATTGCGGCTGATGAGCCGAGGTGTCATACATGACTGGTGACTCCATTATTCACTTTTAACACATCACAGATAGGACTTCACAAGTATTTTATTTTTTCCAAAAAAAAAAACACGTGGCGTTAGCACACAGTTTACACTCGTGTCACTAAAAAAAGCTACACTTAATTGTAAATTAGTTTTTTACACTCGACGACCCGTTTGTTTAGAAATTAAAAACTTGTCGTTTTATAACGGCCAGTGATTGCACCCTTTTATATCATTGAATAAAAGTCGCGCCAAACGAAATATACTGTGAGAGAAATTTTGAGAAAAAAAAAGTGTACACTCTGCCGGTTGGTAAAAATTTCGAATAGCACGAGTGTTGGCGCACGACTGAGCTCCTCGATGACATGTCGCAAGCTTTCATTCAGGGCGCGCGCCAACTTCTCTGGTAGGATCTAGCGCGCATGCGCACTCTCTAAGTTAGTATACACTTTTCTTATATTCCTCGCGCGGTGAAGTTGATGGGATTCCCCTTTCCCCGTGGCCACTCGACCGCGGGTAACTCCCCTTTGCCTCTCGCGCTTAACACCACGTTGCCCTCGCACAGCATCGCGACAGGAAAACTTTTTACGGTCGCCTTTCTTGTTACTTTTATTTATTTTTATTTATATATAAAAAGAAACGAGCAATTCAAAACATTACCACTATTATTTCGAATTGAATGTTTCATTTTACTTTTTCAACATTTTTTTCTTATTAAAAGTATCAAATAGCTTAGTATTGATACCAAAATTGTGGATCGAATCAAAAATTGATTTTTTGTATCAAAATTTGATCCGCATTTGGTATCAATAAATACCAAACGATATACCACTTGGTATATCAAGTTTGACACACTTTCAAGAAAACTGTGAATTTATTAAAAAATTGTAACTATTAATAATTTAATAAAAGTTTAATAAAGAATTTTCTTTTTTTACCTTCTTGTAAAAATCGAAATGTTTACAAAAGTAAAAGAAGGTAAAAAAGGAAATTTACTTTAAAAATCTAAAAATTCTATTTGATTCTCCCTATCGAGGGAGAAAGTATCCCTATTGAGGGGGGAAGTATTCCTATTGAAGGGGGATCATCCTAGTACAATAGGACTTTAATTATATTAAATATTTAGGTCAAAGTGTTTGCAGTGTTTACACGGATTTAACAAATAAGATTTTTCTCTTCTATTTTTTAAAGCCACTCCTTTTAGACCCTCGAATATCTCATATATTGTATATGTGTATTCTTTGTGGTTTGTATACCTGCGGGTGTTAATATATACATTCAACTACCTGTTGCTGCTCTTTAGAGATCCGTTTTTCGTGAGATACTTTTACGCTTCACTTGAAGTTTTTGACCTCATTTCAAAAAATAGTCACAAAATAATACGTCAAGTATATACTTTATTCACTTAATTTTTTTTTTTGAGAAACAGTAAATAAGGAAGAAAACAAAATTTTATATTTTAGCATACGAAAGAGATTTTTTTTTAAAAAACAAAAAATATTTACTATTATTTTAAATGCACCCGGAAAAAAGATATTTTTGACTTAAAGGCAACTATATAGACTATTTACTTGTTTCAAATATAAATTTTATTTGGTTTAAATACAATAATATTTGGTTTATATAAAATTTTATTTGGTTCAAATAAAAGTTTTATTTATGTTGAATAAAATATTTTGTTTAAAATAAACAAAATATTTTGTTTAAAACAAATAAATAACTTAGATGGCTCTGAGACAAATATACCTATTATTATTTAATTTAAATAAATTATATTTGGTTTAAATAAAATTTTTATAAAAAAAATATTTACTATCAAATGTGATATTAGTAAATATTTTTTTGTTTTATTTCTATTGCATACATGTTTTTTTTTATCATAATTTATAGTATTTTATAAATAATGATAAAAAGATAATTACAATTAAAATAATTACAATAATTATACAAAAAGATAATTTCTTGCTTTTGATCAAAAATTTTCAACCTGCACAAAAATTTATAAAGTTTAGGAACATATTTACAACATACCATCTTTAGTTTCCTTGTTTATTTTATATAGTTTAATTGAAATAATTGATTACTTGTCTATTAACAATTAAATATTTACTTGAATCAAATAATTTTTATTTAAATTAAATAAATGATATTCAAATTAAGTTTAAATAAATATTACTTGACTCAAGTAAATAAATATTTACTTGAGTCAAGTAACACAGAAAAAAAATTATTTATGTTTCAAATAATAACCGATTACTTGTCCATTATTAAATAAATATTTTTTTTTTTAAATATTTTAAAAAGTTTTTTAAACAATGTCTATTTTGAAACTGTTTATATCTTAAGAGCAAAATGGATTCAAAATTATTTTTAAAAAATCACAATTTTTTCAGTGGTAATTTTCAATGTCTATTTTTAAGTAAATATTTAATCTTTTATCAAATAATTTATATTTAACTGAATTAAACACTCTTTATACTTTAAATACCGAAATTATGGGTTTAAATAAATATTTGGTTGATTAAAATAAAAAATTATTTTAATCAGGAAAATATTTATTTGAATCAAGTAAATATTTATTTAAATCAACAAAATATTTATTTCAATCAAGTAAATATTTATTTGATTCAACTAAATATTTTTTTTACTTAAGTAAATATTTAATAACAAACAAGAATTAGTTACTTGCGAGGTTATTTGAATCAAATAAATTTTTTTTGCAGTGTATACAAAGTATTAGGATTGTATACAATAAAAATTCTAATTTAATAGTTGATTCATATTATCGTTTATTGATGAACGGGGATGATACATAATAATTAAAATTATGATCATTATTCTGCTTTTAACACATCCGGCCTTATAAATTATTCACCACGAAACAAGAAGGAAAATGTAGGTATAAAATTAAAATATTAATAAAAGAAACCTAACCATAACATTCTTTATTCTCTTCTACTCTTAATTTAAAAAAAGAATTAAATAAAAGAAATTACAATTTATCAAAAAATTCAATGTTTTTCGTTTTTTCTATTTTTTTAAAAATTCAAATTAGTTCTCTTCTTCTTTACTAGAGAGCGGTGTGTTAAACCTCATTACCATCTGTTAGTATTAACAAAATTTTCTTACTGATGATGGTAAGTGAATTTTTATATGTTACCATCTGTAGGTAAGTACCGACTGTTGATGCACGAAATTCTTTATTTTTTTCTTTAGTGGTAAAAAAGATTTTACAATTTAATATTTTTAAAATAAATATTATTAAAATTTTAATAAAATTATTGATAAAATAACACTTTTTGGACATAGCAACAAAAAAAATCTTATTTACACAAAAAAAACGAGAAACAGAATTGAAAATATTCCAAATAATTTTTTGAATTAACCTACAAGATTCTAAAGGTCGTCATGTTTTTACGTATATTTCCAGGTAGAAATTCTTGAATGACAGTTTCCAGCACTGATAAAAAAAATGAATTTTTTTAGATTAAAATTAATCATAATAAATTTACAAAATGAAAAAAAATTTGTATTTTCTATTTTTTTTGGGGGGTATTTAGAAAGAAATTATTTTTCTCACATTCGTTTCAAGTTTGAAGAAAAGAAAAAAATAAAGAATATTTCTCGATTGAATGACAACCCGGAAGCGTTTGATGAAACTACCGTTATATGCCGTTGGCAGCACTGATGACGAAGAGCGTCGACTTTAGACGGAAGGGACCGAGTTATGTCGAATTTTCTATCCGTGATATTAGCCATAACAAAAAAATTGTTACCACTGGGTAAATAGTTTTCGCCAGTGTTATATTTCCTGTGTGTCTCCGTTTTCTGATTTTGTGCGTCGGTTTCCAAAGGATTTTCTTACGTGAATTTATATCACACGGTAAGTGATTACAAAAAATACATAATTAGATATTAATTTTTTTCCCGTATATAATAAAATTTGTTTTTATTTGCTCGTCTTTTTTTTTGGTGGAAACTAAAATGTCTTTGATGGTATAAGGAACAGACGCACGCGTATTGTTGTGGTAAAATGTTGAATAGCGCGATCCAGCATCCATTGTCGAACATGCGAACCCATAAACACTCTTGTCAAAAATATGATCACGTGTAAAAGCATTTTAATTTCAATTAAATTTTTTCAAATTTTGACCTTCAATATCCCAACTGTATTTTATGAGGAAATCGTCGCACTAACCTCAAAAAAAATATTCTATTAGCACACCCATATCAAATCCACGCCAATAATTCCCTGTACTTTTTAACCGATCCATTTTTGGACGCATTATCGATTTCTCGGTTATATTTTTGTTTGGCTGGGAAGTCCGACATTTAAATTATTAAAGTTCAGAATCAATTTATATACTTCTCGTCGGCGATAATATATGAGAAATTGAATAAATTTTCTGTTTGAGAAAATTTCTATTCGAACGATAAGTAACGTATTTTTTTTCTTATTTTTCGACCATCTATATAGCACCATTTTTGTTTTAATTATCAAACCTGTTTTTTTGCTTATTATATAGTATATATATAGAAAAATGGAGGACAATTTGTTCTTTTTTTTTGGTGAATAAGTATTAAGTCATAAGTAGTGTCTTTGTCGATTATTCTTCAAAATTTCTTTTTCTCTTTTCATCGAGAAATTTATTCTTCTACAAATAATATATGCTTATAATTTAATTTTCTATCAGTTTTCGATACATTCGATAATATTGAATACCCTATAGCGACCGAAGCTATTTTTATAATATATAAATGAAATGAAGCAAAAAATTTAATTTCTTTCCGATATATTTTTATTTAAAGTAACAGATAAAACAGAAAAAAATTTAGAATTGGTCTAAAGATTTCAAAAACTTTCTTGTTTTTTTTTAAATTTAAAGTAGGTACCATTTATTTAAAATTTCAACATTGTCTATAATGACCATGTTGCCTAAATTTTTTATTTAAAAATCGCAAATTTCCAAAAATTTGAATCGAATTCCAATCGAAAAGTATAATGATCATACTGTTAAAAAATTTACATATCTACAATGTTAGGCACATTATTTTTTGATTTTAACTTATCTTCAAGGTCAGACTTTTAACAGTGACAGCCATTTATGACGCATATTTTTTTCGTTTCTAAACGTCTGTTAAATATATTTACACATTTATTAATAAAGATTAATTTTTTCAATTCTTTTCAATTTTTTTTCGTAGATCATTCTGTTGTATATGTACGAAAACAGTAAAGAATTTCTTAATTCTAGACTAGGTACCCAAACAGACACCAAGAAAAGAAAAAAAAACAGTATCAACGATGGCTGGCGAACAACAACAGTTTTTTCTCAAATGGAACGATTTCCAAACAAACATGGTGTCTTCGTTTAAACACCTAAGAGATGAAAAGAGCTTCACAGATGTAACGTTAGCCTGCGATGGACAGACGTGCAAAGCTCACAAAATGGTACTGTCAGCTTGCAGTCCATATTTCAAATCTCTATTAGAGGTAATATTTGCATACTTCAATTTAATTTCTTAATTTTTGTTCCCTTTTTTAATTTCTTAATTTTCAATTTCTTAATATTAGTAAAAGTAAAGAAATAAGGAATAATTTTACATTGCAGGAAAATCCGTCCAAACACCCAATTATTATACTCAAGGATGTAGCATATAGTCATCTACAAGCAATTCTAGAATTTATGTATGCAGGTGAAGTAAATGTTTCACAAGATCAACTCCCAGCCTTTTTGAAAACTGCAGATCGACTTAAAGTTAAAGGACTGGCTGAGGCTCCTGGTGCCATTAAACGAGAGGGTTAAAGTCTATGCGTTTCTAGTTATGGTAAGTTTTAATAGTTTAAATATTAATATTTAACGTATATCTTAATATTCCGTGAGAAAATAAAAGTTTGGAGAAAAGACGCGGCAAACTATGGGTAAAGAATGGCGAAAAAACTGTTTTTTTCATATTTTCAAATTATGAGCAAAGTATGGCGAACTGGAGAGGAAGAGAAACTATTTTTTCTATATTTTTAAACTATGGACAAAAAATAGAAAAGCAAAGACAAAAAAATTTTCTTTTCTTCTTCCTATGGTAAGCCATGCTCAGGGCTTGAACCAATCAAAATATTTAAAAATACGGATTTTACAGACCAAAAATGAAAAATTATGGACAAATTACTGACAAAAATATAACTACTGTCCGAGTCAAATAAGAAATCATTTTACTTAAAACTATAAATTAAATTTTTTTATAATTATAAAACAATTTTCAAATCCATTTCTTTATAATAATCAATTTTACGAATTTCAATTATTCGTAAATTCTTTAATTAAATATATACTAGAAAATAAAAACTTCAAATAATATAAAAAAAATTCAATTAAACTTTTTCAAAAAAATTTATTTCAAAATTTAATTATTTCTAAAAATTCACGCTATACTACTTTTAATATTCTATTATCTAAAATTTTAACTGAAATTGATTTTTATGAAATGAAAATCAATTTTTATTAGAAAATTCTACTAGAATTCAATTATTTAAATACAAATAAAATGCAAATAAATAGTTTATTGCATGTTTATTGAATAATTCAATGATTCTTAAAATTCAATTCTCATAAAAAAATTTTATCAACAAATTTTTAATAATTGAATTCTTTTGACGAATTTTAATAAAATTTTCAAGAATAATTACATTTTTCAAGGAATTCGATTAAAATTGTATTAAAAATAATTGAAATTCTATAATAAGTTTTATTATTCATTTAAAAATAATTGAATCTCTATAAAAAATTTATTGTTTATGAAAATAATTGAATTGTTGCGAAGAAATTTATATGAAAAATTTGTAAATAGTTGAATTCCTGTGAAATTTTTATTATTTATGAAAATAATTTAATGTTTGCTTAGAATTTTACCAACATTTTTCTTAAATAATTGGATTTTATTTGAAAAATTTTATTAAAAATAGCCGATATTGAAAATGATTGAATTGAGGAAAAATTTTGAAAATAATTGAAATTTTCCCAAGAATTATATTAAAATTGTTGAAAATAATTGAATTTTTTATAAGAATTTTATTAAAATTTTTGAAAATAACTGAATTTTGGAGAAGAATTTTATTATTTATAAATATAATTGAAATTTTAAAGAGAATTTTATTATTTATAAAGATAATTGAAATTTTGGCGAGAATTTCATTAAAATTTTTGAAAATAATTGAATTTTTGAGAAGAATTATATTATTTATAAAGATAATTGAAATTTTGATGAGAATTTTATTAAAATTTTCGAAAATAATTGAATTTTGGGGAAGAATTTGCGAAATTGCGAAGAAATTTATAAAAAAATTTGTAAATAATTGAATTCCTGTGAAATTTTTATTATTTTATCAAAATAATTAAATTTTTGCGTAGAATTTTATTAAAATGTTTTGAAAATAATTGAATTCTTTTGGAAAATTTTATTAAAATAGTAGATATTGAAAATCATAGAATTGAGGAATATTTTTAAAAATAATTGAAATTTTGCCAAGAATTTTATTAAAAGTTTTGAAAATAATTAAATTTCAGAGAAGAATTTTATTATTTCTAAAGAAAATTGAAATTTTGACAAGAATTTAAAAAAAATTTTAAACATATGTAATTAAATTTCTCTGCAGAATTTTATTACTTTTAAAAATAGTTGAATTTCTGCAATAATTTGTAATTTCTCTAAAATTCTCCAAATTATATTGTACAATTTACTAACTTTTCGTCCTTTTTCAATCAAATTACGAACTTTTAAAAATATAAAGAAATAGTTTTTCTTCTTTTCATGCTTTGCCCACAATTCGAAATTTTGTCATATAAACGTTAAAAATAGTTTTAAAAAAACTTTTTTTCTTCTTCCCATGCTTTGCCACATTTTGCCGATGGTTAAAAAAATAAAAAAAAGTTAAAACTTTTGTGTAACTTTTGTGTTTTCTTAATTTCTTAATGCCTATAGACACAAAAATAAAAATTATCTTAAAAAAAAATAGTGCACTAATTAATGCGTAAATTCTTAAAAAATATTTTCGATAAAATTCAAAGTGAATAACGTTTTATTCGAGCAAACAATTCAAAACACAAAAGATTACACATGTGTTTTCTATTTTATTTCTAAAACCGTTTTCATATGCTAATTAGCAAAAAATGTTTTTAGAAAACTGACAACAAAATTTTATCTTTATTGACAGTCATTTTTATATATTTATAAGAATTTTACTTTTATTACTTAAATTCAGAGTATTAGTAAATTACTATAGTAAATTACTTAAAAGTAAAAATGTATTGGTAGTAGTAAAAATGAAGTAAAAATAATTAAAAAGAGAAAAAAGTAATATATACAATTTTTAAAAAAAATTTATTACTAGTCAAGTGCCCTTGACTTTGAAATTGATAAAAATAGAAAACGAATAAATGTCTTATTATATTAAAAATAGAAATTTCTTTTCAGATATTTTTTGGAGCGTGTGCAGACTGAGAAAATGATATAAAAAAAAAAAATGATCGCGTAAACGTACACACATAACAAGTACACGAAATTCCACACAATAAAAAAAACCATGTGCACGACACAGTTAATCTCTGGTTCATGACTTGGATCAACGAAGTCGTTGATGTAATATACAAATTATTCTCAATCTCGATAAAAACATTAATGTTGTATCGAGTCGTACACACAACTAAAGTAGAAATGTTGATGTCTGTCTTGAACCCAGTATGTTACACTATAACACTGATTATTTTTTTAAAAGCGAATCTACCGCGGATTTATAAACAGATATGTGGGTCTTAAAATACTTTAAAAATAGGCTGTTCAGGGTAATTTTGCGAATCGATGGAAGTAATCGAATTATCCCTTGGGGCGAGAGTTTTTCTTCTTTTTATATTTGTTTCCTTGATGAAAAAAGTAATCAACCCTGATATTTAAACTGTATCCATTGAAAGACTGATTTTTTAAAATAAATTTTGACCCTTTCTGCAAGCTTTGATTTTGCGAAAAAATAAAATTTTCTAAGCAAATAAAATTGTAACTTTTGAGGGTGTTTATCGTTTATAGCCACTAGATTTGCAAAATACCTAACAAGGCCATCTTTTTTGAATTTCAAGTTTACTGGATGTTAATTTTTTTTTTGAAATTTAAGATTATCAAACTTGAAATACTCCTTTCTGTGGCTTATTGTAAAACACCTCAATTGTACAGCAAAAGAAACGACTGTAAAACTTTTTTCGATTTTTTATCACTATTTCCAGTAATCTTGACTTTCCCTAAACCAAATACTGCCAGTTTCTTTTTTTGTACCGGCGTATTGACATTATTACGACCCTACAGCGAAAAAACGTAAGTAAGTGACATTAGAGCTTAAGGTTCATTTTCGTGTGTCTAAACTATAGGAATTTCGACCTGAGCGAAAATTTTACTAACCTACGTTTTTTCGATTTGTAGGACAGAATAACCGATAGACCAAATTTATTTATGATAATAATATATTGAGGGTTGGTTGTCCTGAACCAAGGGAAATATTATTGTAACATAATGGCGGACGAATTTTTTTGTAAAGCTGGAGCGCACAGTTCCTTTTTACTTCTCGGGTACAACAACTTATTTACAATAAAAAAAAAAACAAATATCTACGAACCATAGATCGACATTAAAAGCAATCCTAGAATATTCTTCTTTCAACGATTAATTGTAACTATTTGTTTATATAAAATTAAAAAATAAAAAAAAAATCAATTATTTTTTTGTGCTTAAGTTAAACATTTGTTGCACAGAACGTGAAAAAAAATTATCATGTATCATCGTTTTTTTTTTATAAATTTCGAAATATTTTCAAGAAGTTGACACGATAGACAAAATTTTTGTTACGAGCGGAGAAAAGTAAAATTGTTGTCTACAATTATTATTACAAGAGTTTATTATCATAATAGTTAACAATTAGTTTTCTTTTTGTAATCGACATTTCATTTTTCTCCAAATGAAGAAGATTCTGCAATGTGTGAATTTTGTTTATAAAACAATTCTTTTTTTTTTTCTTTAGAATAGAGACGAGAGTCGGCCAGCGAGCCCTCAAAAAGCCGAACAGGTTTTATACTTGTTAAAAAAAAAATCTCCACGTAATCTGTTTTCTGTATATTGTGAAACTTCCGTAATTGCTTTTTTTAATATCTCTTGATCCTAAAAAAAAAGAAAGAAAAGGATCGTCTTCGCTGTTAATGCGAATGGAAAAAAAATGATGATTTAAAAGTGAAATATCGTAATTTCTCCTCAATTTATTGTAAGTACACGATTCGTCTTTTAACTGTTAAGAGTTACTTTTACTATTGACTTAAATATTGAGGATTATGATATGAAGATGTTGAGATATAAAATAAATTGTGTAAATATACAAGATTTGTGTTGAAATAATTTATTTACCAATTCTCTATCCTATTATTTTAAGGCTCAACTTAGATAAAATAAATGTCGGACATATTTTTTCAGAAATTTCTCAAATTCGATTGAAAGTTTTCAAGGTCCGCCATATTGGATCCGCCATTTTGAATTTTGAAAATCTGACTTCAGATTCGTAATCAAAGACCTCGAAAACCACCCGAGTAACAAGATTCAATCGAATTTGACCAATTTTTTAAAAAATGTCCGCCATATTGGATCCGCTATTTTGAATTTTGAAAATGAAATTATTTTAAATTTTGCTAGCTAAATTCTTATGCTTTCCGAGCTGTAACGAAATTATAATAATAAAAGGATAAACACCTTCCTTAAATATAAGAACAATTTAATTTTTAGTTGTTTTATTTATAAATTTTTCATTCACAATAATAAATATTCAATAAAACATGAAATAGAATTATAATTAATAGTAAGAATTGTGGTACGACAAAAAAGTATATAGTCTGACATTTTTTTTTCTTTCGTCATAAATTTTAAAATTTTACTTTTTTATCATACCATTGATTCGGTAAAATATAAATTATATTTTTTGGGTTTTGCAGCTTTGCGGTTATATTAATAGAAACTTCCAACATGGGAATGGGAGGTGAAATTTTTAAGGTGTATAAAAGTATAAATTTTAAATATAATATACAGACAAAATGTATATAATTATATATAATACTAAATCTATCAAGCAATCTCAGTTTGGTGAAAATAATACCGATTGTTTGTGTGTTAAGTGTTTTTGTGAATTCGAAAAAAAGAGATTAAATAGATTTTGATGTAAAAAAATACATCTTGAAAAAAGATAAAAGTGCCATAGACACATTTAAGAATTTTTTCTTCTTTTATTGTCTGTTTGATATGTTTTTTTTTGTGACTGAAGACTTTTTTTTGTAAAGTTTAGAGCATCTTCTTTGAATTTGATGATGAAGACGATGATGGTGTGATGTTTTTCGCAGAAGTCGATGATTTGTGAAGTTCTTATTAACTATGGTATATCACATTGTAAAATCAATTTACTACTTTTTTTTTAGTCATGGAGGAACTATAATTTACGAGTTAGACGTGCATTCTTCGTAAGAAGGTGGCGCTGAAAATTAAAAATTTGATTAGAGTTTGAATCAAATTCAATTTGTTGCAATCATATTTGAAACACAGTATTTCTAAGGATATCAAATTGAAACAAAAAACGAATTTGGAGAATTTTGGAGAAATTACAAATGATTGGAGAAATTCAATTATTTTTAAAAGAAAAACTGTGAATTAAGACAAAGAACTTACGCGTTTCAGGTTGCCTTGAAGAGCTCTGAGAGTGATTTAAATGATTTGTGAAGACAAATCCAATTGGTTGGTATTCCTCTTGAACATTATGAACTAAAGAAAATGACTGATTAACAATTGGCGTTTCTTGGTGGCTCGACGAAGAATGATTGAGATTCATGTTGCCTTGAGAAACTGGCACTATAGAGTCTATCGCTGGAGCTGATGGTACAACTGATGGAGCATGTTGAACACGAATCAGAGGTACAATTGTCGTTGAAGTCGTATAAAGTGGTGTGGTTCCAATTAAAATTGGATAACTCTTTTCAATATTGCCATGCCTAGAAGAAAAAAAATATCACTGAATCGCTATCCTTAAATTTATACACAGTGATTTTTATGTTCCAGACCCCCAAAATATCTTGAAATTTTGAACCTAACAACGTTTGTAATTTAACATATTTCTCTAAAAACGCTTTTCTTTCAAGATATTTTGGAATCCTGGAATATAAAAATCACCAGCTGTATATTTCATGTTTGATAAAAAAAATAATGGATTTTGCTTAAAGTACTTTTTCATTTATCAATTAAAACAAAACTCACGTTCCGGACGAAACAATCTTGACTTTCAGTCGATATTGAATTTCCACCAAAGAGCAATAAACTAAATTAGAAGGCAGCACCTGTGGTACTTTTATAAACAAATTAACTTCATTTTTGTCACCGAATGATCCACGTTTTTTATCCTTTCCAATTATTGACCGTTCGCTTCTAATCTTATTCTTAGGCCTGGTTGCTTGAAATTTGAGAATCTAAAAATAAAAGTTGACAGAACTTACAAGTTAGCATATTTACCAAACAAATGTTTTTCCATAAAAGAAACTGAAGCTGCCAACCATTTAATTTTTGAAAATTTTATTTCTCTATTTGTACTTAAATTTTAAATATTTTTTTGTTTGATGAGTTTCAGCTTCATTTGCTGAAACTCAGTTACCAAACAAAAAAATATTTAAAATTTAAGGATCAAAATTAATAGTAGGTGACAGTTTCGGATTCACTATATGGGATGTAATTTACTGACCTTTTCTAGAGCCACTTTTATTTTTGTCACTTCAACGGAAGAAGAGTCATTGTAGAAACTTACAGTAACTTCAATTGTTTGACCAGGAATAAATCCACTAATCGGCGTTTTTACACGAGCGTGTAAAGAGCCCATTTTTATGAAACACATACAGCTGTAATTTTGGTATTCCTCATCATCAATACCAACCTAGGAAAAATTTCATATTAGAATCACAGTTTTTCTGAGGATATCAAATTGAGACAAAAAACTAATAAAAAGTGTTGCGAAACAACCTTCTGATTTTTTTAAAAGGTCATCATAAAATATGCTTATTGCCCTTTATATTTGTTGCCATAATTCACAGGAAACAAAATGGCGGAGACAATATGGTGGTAAAATTTAATCAAATTTGCTTGAAAATTGTTACTTAGAGGTTTTCGGTCTCGCTGATTACGAATCCGATGTCAGTTTTTCAAAATTCAAAATGGCGGATCCAATATGGCGGACTAAAATTTTAATATTTAATCAAAATTGCTTGAAAATCGTTACTTAGGGGTTTTTGGGGTTGCTGATTACGAATACGATGTCAGTTTTTGAAAATTAAAAATAGTGGATTAAATTTTAAAATTTAATCAATTAATTTTCAAATAAATTTTATTAAATTCTAATTATTTTTTAAAAATTTACTGCCATATTGTGTCCGTTATTTTGTTTCCTGTGAATTAGGCAAAATTACCAAAAAGCGCGCTTCATATATTCATATATGAATAATTAATTACCAATCGAGACGGTTTTTTTTAAAAACAAAAATAATTGACGATTTTATAATTAATTTATTCAGTTTTTAATGTATGTGATTAATTGTATTATTTGAAGCTTAGTGTGATTTGGAGATAATAATATATGCTTACCGCTGCTCGTGATATTTGATTCAAATTAAATGGCGTAAGCACTTTTAATTTTATTTTATCAAATGGATTTAATAAAACTGCTTCATCGAGTAATTCAGTGACTTCTATAAATGTCGCTGTGATGAAATATAAAATACTTCCAAATTTATGTTCAAATGAACAGGGGACATTTTGTGGCAAGACAAAATTAAAAGGATAATGATTTTCACCAGCGGGCAATTGTCTGATATCATCGTCTGAAAACGAGTAAATATTGTGTTATTCTGAAAATATTGTGTTATTCCATTAGAATAAAATTATAATTAAAATTAAAACAATTAAAATTAAATCTCAACTAACAAGAGACTATAGGATCCCGATTTACTGTTTTATTAAGTTTATGATTTTTAATTATTCGCATTAGGAAAATAACCGGGAATCAGATAAAGTATAATATTTTAAAATTAAATGAGTGTTTTTTGTTAAAAATTTTATTTTTATTAAAAATTAATTTGGCAAATAATTTTTTCTACTTACTGTCTGTGCTTCTTATTAAATAAAACGTTCGATCGAAATACGTCTCGACGGAACTGTAATTTTGTAAATATTTTTCTTTACGTCCATAAACATTTTTTCTCTTTTCTTCCTGTACCCATAAAACGGAACATACACCTTCGACTTTTATTGAAATTCCTGAAAAAATTCAAATTAAATATTAATTTGTCACCAAATTCACCAAATAAACATTTAAATAATCAATTTTTGGGGATTAATTTTTTTCACCAAAAAAAGTGGAATCTTTATATATTAAAATTAAATCATTCGTTATAATAATTTTGAAAAATTAATCCTCCGATGGATTATGTTAATCCTTCTCGTTGGATTATTTTAATTCTTGATGAGTTATTGTAATCCTACAATGGATTATTTTAATGTTTGGTTGATTATTTTAATCCTTGATGGGTTATTTTAGGCCTTCGATGGATTATTTTAATCCTTCTATGAGTTATTTTAATCCTACAATTGATTATTTTAATCTTTCGATAGATTAAAGCCTTGCAGATTTTTTAATCCACTTTTGGTGTTAAAATAATAAAATTTACTCTGTTGTGGAAAATATTTAAAACATTATAATCTACTGCAATAATTCGAAAAATTTAGATACCATTCACCTTGCGTTATAGATTACGTGACTTTAAATGAAAACATCGTCTATTTAAAAATTCTCAACAACAATATAATTTTCTACTATAATTAATAAATTCCAAGAAAATATAGAATAAAAAATTCCGGAATAGAAGATAATGTAAAACATTTAGAGATATTTAATATATTTAATATATTTTCAATATAATTTGAAAAATGAATTAAATCACTTATAGTTAAATTAGTTCTTTTTTTAAAAAAAGAAGTTTAGATTTTTCGTTTTTCATATTAGGCGTTTGGTCAAGAAATAAACATTGTGTGATTCATTGAACAAAGAAGCCAAAGGTCCCGCGAGAAACTCAGGGATATTAGCTATGAGATAGCGAATAATAAAAATAAACCACCCCCTCTCTAGTCCCACTGCCCTTCATGTTAAAAATTACCCAAATTGCATAAACTTCGTGACTCGCGCGCTTTAATGCAGTATTGAACTTAAAATTTGGGAAATAATTTAAATTTTCAAAATTCGAATTTTTAGAAAAAGGTGAATTCTTATTTTTATTAAATAAAAACAAGTATACAGATCATTAAAAAATTAGAAAAAACGAGTATCATATTACCTCAATTATATAACTAACATTGTCCTAAAAATAAACTCATTGCAGCTTTTATTTTATACGTTTAATTATTTAAAACAATAAGTAAAAAATAAATACATTTTTTGAATTTTGGTATTAAATTTTTTAAACTTGAAAAATTAAGATTAAAACTATAAAAAAATGGAGGACTATCAATTCTGCTGATTCTCGAATCTTTAACTATTGACACTATTAAAAAAAAAGAATCTTTACACTATTTTTTTATTCCATAAATTTTATAAAATTGTTTCCTTATTCATTCCTTTGTCAATAAATTCAACAAAATTCGTTACATTAAAATTATCAAATTTACTTACAAACTTTGTATTGAAAACAATATTTTATAAATAAAATTATTTTCTTATCTACCTTCGCTAATTTCTTTTGAGTAACTAATTATCGACTTATTAACCATTTCTTATCATTTGCATTTTACGTAAATTTTAACTAGCACACAAGTTAGACAAAAAAAAGGTATTTTATATAATAAACTCCTCTGAATGATAATCGTTAGAATACAAAATCAATTGCTTTAATTTACCACAATTAAAACCGATTAATTTTAATTGGAAATTTTTTTCTAAATCGGTTCCAATTGGTTTTTTAAATTCTAATAGATTATTATTCACAAGTTTACAATTGATATTTAAAAATTGAAAAAAAATATTCCATTATTTTTAGGAGTGATGTATAAAATTAAACTTGGCATCATGTACAAAGTGAAATATCGGAAAATCAATTGAAGGAATGTTATCGCTATTAAGCTAATGTATTGAGTTTTTAAACTTCTAATAGCGTTTGTTAAAATGTAGAATTTTGTAAAATTTAAAAATATTTAACATCAACCCCCTTACCCTTAAACAGAACAGTATGAAACTTTTTTTTAACTTTATTATTTTAGTAGAAAAAATTGTATTCTTCATTTATTTTTTTCTTTGTGTAATTTTTTTTATGATAGTAAATAATTTTGAATGGAATGTTTTAGTGATAGTTCATTTAATATATAGTGGTCAGTTTCTTTTGTTCTGGCATTTGTAAAGAGAGTAATGTTACAATTTTGTTGATGATGTTTCTTTTCTTTTCTTTTTTTTTTTAAAATTCTACATTCATTCACATGAACATGGTAATGTTTTGTGTTAATGTTGTTACACTTTGGTAAAGAGGAAACAAGGTAATTTTGATAAGAACTTTCTACCTTTGCATTTAGTGGCTCGCTCAAGTCGAATCAATACTGAGCCAGTTACATTATCACCTGGAGCATAAGTTCCATCAGTTTGTTCAAGTTCTATGATAACTTTAGCGTTAGACATTTCACATTTAAGATTATTTAGCACTTGTTATTATATAGACAGTAAATAATGTCTTTGTTTGCGTTGCAATGTAACACCATTAAACGCCACTGACACACCGCAGTGTTTCCCATGCCGTAATCCGTATATACTGTAGGCTTACAGTTGGCTATTGGCTTACAGCACATTCGGCGGAATTCGTCAATGGTTTTAGATACTCGCCAGTAGGTGGCTCTTGGTTAACGAATAAACGAAGAGGGTATATCTCTGGTTGGTATATTGTATACCAGAAATATTAACTGACCGCTCGGTGTTAATTTCTTCGATTTTTCGTTTTTAGGTGTTAAAATTTTTTTTTTATAATAAGGCTGAGGTCAGGTACCTCAATAGTAAACTTAAATGATTAAACTTAATTTAGTTTATGACCAGAATTTTGTAGTATAACAATAATAATAAATAATAAATTATTATAAATAATAATAATAAACCTATTGAATCCGCCATTTTGAATTTTGAAAATCTGACTTCAGATTCATAATCAGCGACCCCAAAAACCCCTGAGTAACAAGTTTCAATCGAATTTGACTAATTTTGAAAAAAGTGTCCGCCATATTGAATCCGCCATTTTGAATTTTGAAAATCTGACTTTAGATTCGTAATTTTTATTATGTTCAAAATTTAAAAAAAAAATTCCTGGAGGAGTAGCATTTTCTAATTTTCAAATCGTTTTGGTTTAAAAACTCCTGAAGAAAATTAAAAAAATTCTAAGTGTAGTAATAATAATTTATTGTGTTTTGTAACCAGTTCTTATAGTCTTATTAGATTTTAAGCTCGGAAAGGATTAATGTATAAGTCCTTTACTAGCGGGAAACAATGAAAAGGGTTTATTGATGCTGCGGGAAGTTATGCTAAAGTACACCAAAACATTTGCGTTAGCCATGATGTTAACATTATCGCAAAATTGCCACTATTTCGGCAATATAATGTTTAATTGCAAATTGAAATTGAATTCAGATACAGACGTACGAAAATTAATAATTATTTTCTGATATAAAATTTTAAAAAAAATTCTTACTGGTAAAAATGAAAAGCGCATAAATTACATATTTGAATAAATAATTTTTAGAGTGTATATTTTTGTTTAAATTTAGTAAAAATAAAGTTAAATATAAAAATAATGTATTTACACTATAAATTTATTACTTTAATTTACTCTAAATATAAAATTTTTCTGAAATCGACAATTGTCAAAAATATAAAAAGAGTAGCCACTGTTATATAGAAACATTTAAAAAATATTCTGGTTGTAAAATTATTTCCAAAGACCTACTTTAGTGAATTCACTACAGGGAGCGTTTTAAAAAAAAACAGTTCCTTTTGAGATTAAAAGAATTTTTCTCCTATATAGTATATGTAAAAAGATATTAAAATTCTGGATAAAAGAAAAAAAAATATCAGATGTTCTTCTAATCCTGCCTGTAGTATCTAGTGTTTGTCAAAATTAATCTATTAGAAGAAATTTAATATTAAAAGTTCGAAACTTTTTCTTTTCAACTTGAAAAAAAGACATGATTGTGTATACAATTAAAAGTGACTCATGATTACGAACGCTCAACTCTCATGTAAGGCAGGTTGCATTCAAAGGATATCTATTCGAGAGCAAAAAACTAATTTCCATGCGCACCCGCCATGAAGAAGTTTTTTCAATAATTTTTTTTCCCTCAAATACCTTGGAAACTTTTTAGCATTTTTCAAATACAAACATCATGCTATTTAATTAATTTTTTAGTTATTCATGTTTATAAAATATCCATATTGAATTTTTAGAAAATTGCCTTTGGATTTGTAATCATCGACGCCAAAAAAAAACATCCGAGAAACAAAATTTTAAATAAATCCGTTAAATTTAAAAAAAATTTTTCCATATTGGATCCGTCATTTTGAATTTCGAAAATCTGTCTTCAGATTCGTAATCAGCGACCCTGAAAACCCCCGAGTAATAAGTTTCAATCGAATTTGACCAATTTTGAAAAAAGTGTCGGCCATATTGGATCCGCCATTTTGAATTTTGAAAATCTAACTTCAGATTCGTAATCAGCGACAATATTAGGTTTTTTGGTTTTTTATGGGAATTAAATTATTTAAAAAAATTTGAATAAACTCTTCACAAGAAATTAATTATTTTCATAAATAATAATATTTTTTTCTGGAATTCAATTATTTTTCCAAATAAAATTCTTTACAGGAATTCAATTCTTTAAAAAAATGTTTTCTGAAACTCGTTGCAGGAATTCAATTATTTTTATAAATAACAAAAGCTTATCGCAGATTTTCAATTATTTTTTATAAAATGATAAAAAATTGCATTTATTCTTAAATTTCTTTTTAAAATTCAACCCTACTGATTAAATATTATAAATGTTGAAGAACATTATTTTTAACAAAAAGTGTCTACGTGGATAATTATGGGAGGTAGGGGGAGTCAAAAAATGATAAAAAAAAACTGTCAACTATATTTATTATTTCATAATAAAATTATGTTACAAAATTTTTTTTTCTTTTCGAAAATAAATTAGATATTTTTTTTTTTAAATGTATCGACAAAGACGCTTGCGCCAACAGTATTCATGAAGAGAATGCCTCTTAAGCGTGTAAGGGGTAAAACCACCCTCAGTTCCGCGCCGGTCGTTATTAGAACAGCATCCTCTATATATATGTCAACTAACAAAAAATTTTCTTATTCATAAAAAGCAAAAAAAATTATTCCTACTTTCAACTATCATATGCAAAAAAAAATCCACTTCCCCTTTAATAGGTGGAGAAAAATTTTTAATATCATTTTCATTTAAAAAATATAAATTACACAAGTTAAATTGTTCAATCAAGTGGAGCGCGTTCAACAGGTTAAAAGCCAGAGGCGTTTCATTCTCTACACTATATACTGTTAGTTCAATTGAAGAAAAACAATGTCAAATCAATTCTCAATTTAATTAAACTAAGTTCGATAGAAAAAAAGGACAAAAAAGGGGAAAAAAAGATTTTCTATTCGTAAAAATTTAAAAGTTTCGAAAATTAATAAAAATGAAATAAAAAATGTACAGTGTAAAATTTTTTAATTAGAGGGAAAAAAATTGGAAATTTTCAGTGTAAATTAAAATGGCATTAAGGAGGACTCTTCACTGAACAAGAAGAGGATTATCGTTTATAATTAAAATTGTGTTTACATGTAATGTAAACAGGAAAAAAATGTTAAATCTGTGAAGGTGAGATACTTATAAATTACAATTTTTGAAATTGTAATTAAATAACTGCCTTTTAATTTTATCTATTTACAATTAACAGAAAAGGATAATTGATAATTGAATAATTATCAGATAATTGATAATATTTTGCTTATGTTGAATTATTGATTGTCTCGACGATAATATGAAAGTCAAGAAATAAGGTGAATAATTTTATATAAAGTTATTGATAATCAATTGAGGGGAACAAGTTAAGAAATTAGAGATGTGTGGTATTTACGATATCGTCGAATTGCTAATTGATTGAAATTAATGGCAAACGTAAGTCATAAAAGAAATTAAGCCTCACTAATCATTTTTGCCAGAGGATATTAGAATGCTCCAAAGTGCTGAAATTTTTTACGAATCTGGAGAGATTAATCAAATGGATCTAATTTGAGAGAAATAAATGAAAATGACATGATGAATTGAATTCGTTACTTCTATAAATTGTAGTTTAATTTCTGCGATACTGTTTGAGATTTAATTTTCTGGAATTAATCAAGAGAAGACAATTTTTTTGGTCGAAAAAAGCGAATTGTAAAATTTTATTTTACGAATTTTACGAATTGTAAAAAAATGGCAATGAACAGTCCTGGAGCTTTTATGAAATCGCCCAAAAGTCCAAGGCAGCTTCCACAGTTGCCAATATCGGGTCAACGGAGTCCAATGTCATCGATAAAATCCCCCAATTCATCATCTAGAGTTTTCGAATTCCCCTCGACAATTAGCGAAGGGCCAAAGTGTTCAAAATTCGATTTCGATGATTTCGTGAGTTCCCAAGATTTGTCACGATCAAAGAGTCCAAGTTGCAGTGGACTTTCGGGAATGAAGAGTCCAAGGAGTAATATTTCCATATCACCCGGTCAAGAGTCGCCTGTCTTTCAATTTTGCAATCCAAAGAAAATCATCAACAAAACAATGAGTTATCCACCAAAGAGTCCCGTCTCACCGGGCATCACTCATCGTTCACCAAGTTCCATAAGTTTCGGTCAAAAGAGTCCGAAACCATTTGCTGGTCGGCGAAATTCGTGTTTCAATTTTGGACCTAAAAGTCCAATGTCACCGACAATTGTCATGACATCGGGCCACAGTCCAACGAGTCCTGGCTATGAAATGGAATCGAAATCGAGCAGGGAATTCGGTAAGGGTGCTGTTGGTGGTGGTGGTGGTGGCAAAGTTTGGGGACCTGGTAAACGCTTTAGTTCATTCAATGAAAAAGATCGGGAACATTATAAGAGGATGAGGAACAGAATGGCGTGTCAGAGTCAAGGATGCTTGAATGAAACGGAGAATGAGAGGAATATCGATAATGTCAAAAGTGAAAAAAATATTGCCAGAAGGTCCACGAGTGATTTAACTGAAATGAACGATGCGGAAACGGAAGTTACATTACTCTCGAGTCCAAGAAGAAGAGGATCAATGAAAGGTGGCCTAGGTGAGGATAAATTCAATTTCCTTTCTTGAAAATATTTTCTTTTGATTCCATAAGGAATCAATAAGTCTCTACTAAACAAAGAATTGAAAATGATAACTAAGGCCTCGAACCAGGTCCTTAAATACTGTAAAGGTCCGTAAATTTGCATCAAAAGTCCGTAAAAGTCAATTTTTTTTAAAAGGTCCGTAAAGTCCGTAAATTGATTGAAAAAGGATGAAAAGTTCGTAAATTGTACGACACAATTTTGAAAATTTTGAAATAGTTAGAAATGATTGAAGAAATTCGATTATTTTTAAATCTAATAAAATTCTAGGCAGAAATTCTATTCTGATAAAAAATTTAAAACAATTCTCTTCAAAAGTTGAATTATCTTTAGAAATAAATAAAATTCTACTATTCCGAAATTCAATTATTTCCAAAAATTTTAATAAAATTCTTGGCAAAATTTAAATTATTATCAAAAATTTTATAATAAAATTCTTGGTATTTACAATTATTTTCAAAAAATTTCCTCAATTCAATAATTTAACAAAATTTTTATAAAATTCTACGCAAACGTTTAATTATTTTCATAATGTTATTAAAATTTCACAGTAATTCAATTATTTACAAATTTTTTATAAATTTCTTCGCAATCATTCAATAATTTTCATAAATAATAACATTTTTACGCAGGGATTCAATTATTTCGTACAAAATAACATTCTTTTTAGAAACTCAATTGTTTTTATGAATAATACAAATCATTGCAGAATTTAAATTATTTTTAATACAATTTTCATCGAATTCCCCGAAAAATGTAATTATTGTTAAAAATTTTATTAAAAATCGTAGAAAGAATTCAATTATTTAAAAATTTTGTTGATAAAATTCTTTATGAGAATTCAATTTTGAGAAAAATTGAATTTTTCAATAAACTATGTATTTTTGTATTTAAATAATTGAAGTCTAGTAGAATTTTCTAATAAAAATTGATTTAAAAATGAATTTCAATTAAAAACAAATGAATTTGGAAAATTCTCAAAAAAACTTTTTCAAACATTATTAAAAAAAAAGTGTTATTTAATGTTAAAAACTAAAAAATTTAATTTTGGAAAAGTTATAAATTATTGCAAAAATTCAATTGTTTTTAAGAGAAATAAAATCCTTCGCAGAAATTTAATTATGATCAAAAATATAATAAAATTCTCCTTAAGAATTCAATTATTTTCATAAATTAAAAAAAACTTCTCCTCAACATGTCAGTTATCTTTACAAATAAATAGCAAAATTCTTCACCGAAATTCAATTATAATAAGGAATTTCAGTGAAATTCATTGTCAAATTCAATTATTTTCATATAATGAACAATATTCATCTCAGGAATTCAATTATTTTTAAAAATTAATTAAATTCTTCGTAGAAATTCAATTATTTTCAAAAAGTCTAAAAAAAATTATTGTCAACATTTTAATTATCATTACAAATATGAATATCAAAATTCTTCGACAAAATTCAATTATTTTCAGAAATTTTAATAAAATCATTCTTCACAAAAATTCAATAAAATAAAAATAACTATATAATAATAAGTTATTTTTAATAAAATTCAATTATTTACACAAATTTTAATATAATTCATGTCAAAATTTTAATTATTTTGTATATCTATTATTTTAATAAAATTTACCAAAAGAATTCAATTATTTAAAAGCAATTTTGACAAAGTTCTACACGAATATTCAATTATTCTCCTAAAATAATGAAAATTTCACAGGAATTCAATTATTAAAAATAGAAGTTGCATAAATTTTTTTTTAAAAAACCCAATCGTTGAAACTTTTTTTTTATAAAATTTTTCGTAATAATTCAATTATTTTCATAAATCATAAAACTCATCTAAGACTTTCAATTATTTTTTATTAAAATTTTAATCAAATTCCTCGAAAAATGTAATTATTCTTAAAAATTTTATTAAAATTCATCAAAAGAATTCAATTATTTAAAAATTTTGTTGATAAAATACTTGATGAGAATTGAATTTTAAGTAATTCAATTCAATAAATGAATTCTAGTAGAATTTTCTAATAAAAATAAATTGATTTTCATTTCATAAAAATGAATTTCAGTTAAAATTTTAGATGATAATTGAATATTAAAAGCAATATAGCGTGAATTTGTAGAAATAATTAAATTTTGAATTTATTTTTTTTGAGAAAGTTTAATTGAATTTTTTTTATATTATTAGAAGTTTTTATTTTCCAATATATATATTCAATTGAAGAATTTAAGAATAATTAATATTCGTAAAATTGAATATTGTAAACAAATGGATTTGAAAATTGTGAGAGAACTTTTTCAAAAATTAATTGATTTAAAGAAGAATTTTAGTTAAAAATTCTTGAAAATAATAATTGAATTGAAATGATGAAAATAATTTTGAAGAAGTACAATATTCTTATCATATAAAATAATGATTTTATCAATTTGCCATCTTCAATTATTATAAAACATGAAGAAATCGATCACTCCGAGTTGAGCCCTGTACCTTACACTGTAAATTAAAATAATTTATTACAAAGAAGCTTCTTGAGCATCGAGAAATATTTTTTATATCCAAAGAATAATTTTTTAGAATACCCTTTTGACTTTTGACATTTAACGATACAGATGGGAAAAAGCTATAACGAAAGTTAAGCTTACTACTGAACACAAAAGAAATGTGACTTTCGTTCTGCAATCGCAATGTACCTTCAAAATGACATTGTTAAGAATATTTATTATTCTTTGAAATTATATACTTCTTTGTGTAAAAAGATTTTTTTTTACAAAAATAAAGAAATACCGGAAACATTTGCAGGCAATTTCGTTATATAACATTTTGATTCAAAAATAATTAATTTACTGTCAATAAGTCTCCATTTCAAATTAAATCGCTTTAAATCAAGCCCAATTGACACTTCAAAGGGGATTTTTTTTCTGAATTGAATTTCCTTTCTATTGCAGTATATTGATATTATCGATTAATATTTAGATAGTCGTGTTTTTATTTTTACAGATTATAAATTATTTCGATAATTAAAAATATTAATATGTCTAAGTAAATTATTTTATACTCAATTCATTTATTTTCCTAGACAATCTTTCGATGCTGTGGTTTATCATCTTCTTCAGGCTTATTTTAACAATAAAGATTTTAGCAATAAAAAAAATTTAATTTTTGCTGATTTTAACAATAAAGAAAACAAATATAAAATATTTTTATAAGCTACAGTAGAAATTAATAATACCTGATTGTTTCAAAAAATAAAAATTCACATTACAACTGATAAAAATTAAATAATTGTCAAATAATTATGTAATAAATATAATACAATTTATTTTTGATAGAAGTTTTGACTTTTGAAGGTAGGTAGACGGTGGTAGTTGCTAATTACCTGTCTTAGATGTTAGACCACTGTTAGGCGTCAGTATGTTTGTGACAGTCGAATACCGCAGAAGACTTATTGTTTGGCCCCGGAATATATGACTAAGTATAAGTAATTAAATATTTCTAATTTTTACACAAAAATCGAGTGAAAAACTTTAAACCTCTTTTTCCCAAAACTGTTTTTATTTATATATTGTAACGCTTTTTTCAAACTACTATAAGATAATTAAAATACAAAACTTTAATCTTAAACTAAATTTTCCTGAACCTACATTATTGCCCTAGGGTAATAAAAATGTTATTATTGCCCTAGAGCAATAAAGAGGCCATTATTGACCGCTGGATTATAAGTGAGAACTTGGGGTAATTTTTGTTAATTTGTAAATTAAAAATAAATTTAAAAATAAATTTTTTAAATCTGTAATCATAGAAGAAAGTAGTTATAAAATACTATTGCTTTAAAAAGCAGAATTTTTCAAATTTTAAAAATAATTTCCTCTATATGAAATTTGTTATATAAAAGCAAAAGAAATTAAAACAAATAAAATACTTGCTTTTCTAGATGGAAATTTAAAAAATGTATGAAATGCAGGAAATTTGGAGATAAATTTCTCTTTTTCCTTTAGGTGTAAAAAATTACGCTTTTAATAAAGACCATGAACTGAAAAAAAGAAAAAAAAGTAAAGTGCTGGATGTGGTAAAATTATTTTCCTACTAATATTATTTAAATAGTATTATTTTTAATAATTTAAAATTATTATTTTCTGCAACTTCTTCCTATTTTTGTTATTATTAATAATTTTTTAATTTACGAAACAACTCTCTTGTGATCGTAATTGCTTCTTCTATTTCTTTTTTCAAAATTAAAACTAAATATTCTTTCCGCAGAATAATGATAAATATAATTTATAAGGTGACTTTTTCAGAAGTGTAAAGCATATGCAAGCTTTTAATACCTTTAGTATTTTAAAATGTTTTATTTTGAAATAAAAAAAAAAACAATTGTTTTTTTTTCCTTAACAGTCTCTTTGAAGGAAACTTAACAATTTAAAAAAAAGGTCGCTGAGAATTTTTCACTTTATTCAGAAAAGCGTTTAAAATGCTAAAACGCGCGTTTATAAAAATAAAAAAAAAATGCAATGTTAGAAAAGAATATGCGAAGTATATTCTCTGCTCACCTCACTGCTGCATAGTAATTCTCGATATACTATATAATATAAAACATAAACCTGCAATATATTTTGCAAAAGAGTAAAGTACATTATTTGAGATTTTTTTCTTATTTATGCTAAGAAATAAAAGTAAAAAAAACGAACCGATATTAATTTATTTTGCGAATTATAGATTTTCAATAAAAATAAACACAGTGAATTGACATAGACTTTATTATTGCATAGTAAATACCTTATTTTGCTACTTAAACTGAATTGCGTTTTTAGAGTATATGAGTATTTTTTGAAATATAGTATCTAAATATTTGAAATTATCAAAATTGTGTTGTATATTTAGTCTTTCGGTCGAACTAAAGGTTAATTAAAATCAGAATATGTAAATGAATTCCTTTTGGGGAAATGTAATTATTGTCAAATTAAATTCCTTATCATAGGGCTCGAATTAGTGGAAGTATTTAAAAATACGGACTTTACGGAGTAAAATTTAGAAAAATTACGGACCATTTACGAACTAATTATTTATTATTTTCTAGATTTTTTAACTACATTTCTTCATTAAATCAATTATTTTTAATAACTTTTGACAAAGTTCTTTGAGAATTTTCAAATTCATTTTTTTCCAATTCAATTTTACCCAAACATTCGACTATTTGGAAATTTTTTAATTAAATATAGATTAGAAAATAAGAAACTTAAAATAATTTTAAAAAAATTTCGATTAAGCTTTTTGAAAAAAAAAATTAGTTTCATAGAATTTCTAATTAAAAGCATGTAAAATTCAAATTTTCGAATTCAGAAACTTTTACAAAATTCAATTATTTTTAAAAATTGGAATTATTAGTAACTTCTCTAAAATTCAATTATTATCTAAAATTTTAACGGAAATTAATTTTTAAATTAATTTTTATCAGAAAATTCTACCAGAATTCAATTATTTAAATATAAACATGCATAATTCATTGAATAATTTAATGTTTTTTAAAATTGACTTCCTATGCATAATTTTATGAATAAATTTTTAAATAATTGAATTCTTTCGACAAATTTTCATAACATTTTTAAAAATAATTGCATTTTTCAAGAAATTCAATTAAAATTAATAATTGTATTAAAAATAATTGAAATTCTACACTGAGATTTATTATTTATAGAAATTTTTTGAAAAAATGTATGGAAATTCTATTTTTAATAATTGAATTAATGTGAAATTTCTATTATTTTAGAAAATAATTGAATATTCGTGTAGAACTTTGTTAAAATTGTTTTTAAATAATTGAATTCTTTTGGGATTATTTTATTAAAATAATAAATATACAAGCTATTGAATTAGGAAAAGTTTTTGAAAATTATTGAATTTCTGCGAAGAATTTTGCTATTTATAAAGATAATTGACATGTTGACGAGAATTAATTTTAAAATTTATAAAGATAATTGACATGTTGACGAGAATTAATTTTAAAATTTATTAAAATAATTGAATTCTTAGGAAGAATTTTAATATATTCTTGAAATAATTCAATGTTTCTTAAAATTAAATTCTTATAAAGAATTTTATTAACAAATTTTTAAATAATTGAATTCTTTGGACGAATTTATTTTAAATTTTTAAAAAACATTTTAATTTTTTTTTTTACATTTTTCGAGTAATTTGATTAAAATTTTATTAAAAATATTAAAGGAGAAAGAAGAAATAATTTAAATTCTGCAATGAGTTTTATTTTTTATGAAAATAATTGAGTTGCTAAAAAGAATTTTATTATGTACGAAAATAATTGAATCCCTGTAAAAATGTTATTATTTATGAAAATAATTGAATTATTGCGAAGAAATTCATTAAAAATTTGTAAATAATTGAATTTCTGTAAAAGTTTTATTATTTTATAAAAATAATGAAATGTTTGCGTAGAATTTTATTAAAATTTTTTTCAATAATTGAATTCTTTAGGAAAATTTTATTAAAATAGATATTGAAAATCATTGAATTGAGGGAAATTTTTGAAAATAATTGAAATTTTGCCAAGAATTTTATTAAAATTGTGGAAAATAATTGAATTTCAGAGAAGAATTTTATTATTTCTAAAGATAATTGAAATTTTAATGAGTTTTAAAAAAATTTTTGAACATAATTAAATTTCTCCGAAGAATTTTATTACTTTTGAAAATAATTAAATTTCTGTAATCATTTTGTAATTTCTCTAAAATTCTCCAAATTATATCGTACAATTTACCAGTTGTTACGTGAAAGAAAGGAATTTTTCAAGAATCCTTTTCTAATAAGCCATTAAATGTTTGAAAAAATATTATTTATTACCTAAAAAGTACATGTCTGGAGCTTTAATTAAAAAATTTTTTTATTAAAAACTTTATGAGTAATGAGCCATTGAAGTGACACCTTCGGGAAAAACGCAAAGTCTGCTGACCAGCACTTTGCAAGTATAGTTCCTCGGAAATGCAAAAATTAAATTGATTTAAATTTATTATATCGCTTCCAAGCTTCCGATCGAAGGACTTTTAAGAAAAACGCACTTAAAGTTTCAAAATTACTTTCTTTGTCCAGAAGAGACATTCGATGTGTCGTGTTTTACGTTTGTATATAGTTAAAATGAGATTTCCATTTTATGTAATTTATTCCTATTCCCTTAAAAATCTGTAGAACTATGAGAACATTTATGGAAACGTTTCAGTGACGTTTTAAGAATACAATTTGTGAAATTGTTCATTAATTGTTGAGCCACTGATGGGGGATGAAAACCGAGACATTTGGAAAAAAGTTCTTGTATTTATGTGGATGTCAGGATAAATCGAGGGAAGATCAATTGGGCTCTTCTTTAAGAATTTGATTTTTGTTTCAGCTTACCTTGCATCTCGTCGAGGGTCTCGTGATAGTCAAGCATCCAATTTATCTAATGTCAGCAATGAGGATGTTGGTCCATTAAATTTCAGTGCACATCCTCGAGTTCGTCAAAGGAGGACATCAAATTTCCTCGAACTACCAGGTATATTATTCGATCTATTGTTGCAAATGAATCTCAATTATCAGAGCATTAATTATCTTCTTATCTATTTTATCTATTTTTGTTAATACAATCGTCGAATCGCATATCAAAATATCTATAAATTAAGGAAAACAGAGGGAAACAGTGATTTTAGAACAAATATAGCAGATGTTTTTTAAAAGTATCATTCCTTAAACATTTTTACCTCCCGAAAAGTTTAATTTTCCGAGTTGGTCAATTTAACCATCGCTTGGAACGACACTAATGATCCCATAGCTTTTCCCTAAGATTTAATTCTCCTGTAGTTGTGAGAATTACTTTTAGATGTTGTTGGTGGCACTACGTAATACACTCTTGGTGTGTATACTTGTAATAGCTGAGACTATTCGGAAAGAACTTGTTAAAATAAGCCCCGCCTTGTGTTTGTAGGGACTTAAGTGTCCACATAATGCTTAGTGGGAAAAATTGCTTTTCCAATAGGCTAAGAACACATTAAGAATGGGAAAAAGTTAAATGCGAACAAGAGGACGTAAATGGGAACATTTAGTCCAGAGCTTTTAATTACACTAAATTTCAGGAATTGCAAACGTAACTAATCAAAAACAGCTCATGATAGTTTAATTAGTCTACAGTATCGGACGTTACCTACGCTGAAAAAATAATCCCTTGATATCATCTTCAAGGACTTTTAAAGTTAACTAATTATTTTAAAAATCTTACATTCTATAAAAGTTTTTCTGAACTAAAATAAAAACTTGAAATTCTTCAGGAATCGTACATTTTCTTAGTAACGACGACTAACTTTAACAAGACTTTCTTTTTGTTGAAAAGCAAGAAATTTTGTATTTAAAAAAAAAAGTTCTAATTGATGTTTTTAAATATTTGAACTTTCATATCTTCAATGTAAAATAAACAGCGATGCTTAAACTTCAAGATTATTTCAGAGAAAAAGAAATTCTTGAACGGAAGAATTCATGTTCAGAATTTAAAAGTAGAAGGGCATTTGGACATGAAAGACATTTATATGAAAGGCAGAGAAGCGAAAAGTTGAAATGATCTGTATTTTTAAGATATCTTTCCGAATAGAGCAAATTTTTTTTTGAATTAGAAATATGCAATCATTTTTTATTGAATTCTGATAGCAAACTCTTAGGATACTCCAAATCGTAATTAAGAAGTTAGGCCCCTGTGGAAAAATTTCAAAAATATTTATCAACTTTAGACGTGTTGCCATCATTATTTCGAAATACAAAAGCCTTTTTAACAAAAAAAGGTTGACGACAAATGTCCTGGAAAATCCGGGTCGAGTGTTGCTTTTTTTCTAAATTCTTTTTATGCTGACCATCGCACTGACGTGAAATATTAATTTTTCAACAAACTCCACTTTCACAGAGAGGAATTTATTTTGAAAACTTGAACGAACGATAAGAGCAGTTTCAACATATAAATTGCAAGCCACACTTGTGTGACTGTATGTCGCTACCCTTTGCCATTCAAAATTCGTCGAAGTCTGCTGAACGAGGTCGAAAGTGAGTTATCTCTTCACCACAATTTCCTGTTGAATCTATCCAGTTTGTTGTGCATAGTATCACAGTTAAGAAATCTTTGAAATGAAATCTATTTCACTAGACGATTCAAATTCACCACACACACTATATGCGCGCATAATTACAGTAGATTTGAAAACTTTTAATCGAAAATAAATTACAATTTAAAGTAAATTAATAAATTACAATTTTATCTAAATAACAATTTTATTTCTCAAGTGACAATCGATCGTTAAAAAATGGTGAGAAGAAAACTTAATTTTTCCCTAAATCAACTGATATGGACACAAAATTTTTTTTTATTTTGAACCACGGGCAAAGAATACTTTGAATCCCATTCTTACTTTCGTAAACAATACTTTAAGTAAACTCAAAATTAATTTTCATACAAATTTAAAATAAGATTTAGTCAAATATTTACCCATTACTCATGAATATTCTAAATATTTTGCATATTTCTAAATATAATATTAAATCTTCTCGAAAAGAGTGAAACTATTTTCTCAACGTCAAAAACTTGACAGATTTTTTTTTTTTTGAAAAGACAATTCTTTTCAATGAATTCAATCACCTTTTATCTGAATACTAACTGATCCTGTAAAATTTAATTAATATCGTTCCTGACTATACTGTCACTCATGAAAGGTTTTCTCAATCGTAGAACTTTTATTGAATTTAGGTCAACTTTTTAATAGAGGTACTCCTTGCAAAAGTGAAAAATGAAAGATATCTCCGGTGAGGTAGAAAAATTATTCCCTTAGTTTTTCTGTTAAGGTGGAAATAATGAAAACGTATCTTCGATTGAATTTTACTTTCAACGTTTTACTAAATATTAGAATAACATATTTTTACTATTTAACATTTTATTTCTAAATAATAATTATTTTTTTTATTATAAGTTAGAAGTAGAATATATAATAGAAATAGAAATTATAAATTTAATGATTTGTTTTTGGAATTTAAAATAGTTAGATCACGATGTATTTTAAAAATTTTTTTGCTATTTTTGATGTTTTTGATGATAATAATTTTAAAAAATGGATCTCATTATCTTCTATCTTTAAGTAATGGTTTTTTTTCCTACCATCTTGAGAAAAGTTTTGCTTTCGTTTTTTCCTCTTAGTCAAACACTTTTATTCGCGTTTTATCTCTCGAGAAAACTTTTCCAAAGGAAATCTCTATTCAAACGTGTATTCTCTGAAAAAATTTCAAAAGCAATGCACCTCAAACAGACGCTCACAGTTATGTAGAATGAATCAATGAAAAAATATTATTTGTTAAACTTGACTTTCTTTAAGACCTTCGCAAAATGTTATCAAGTCAACCAACCTGTAGATATTAAATTTTATTTAATTTCGATAAATGCTTAACATTTTTCTGAGAAAAACATTTCGGAAGTTTATTTTCTCATTTATCTTACACATATTTTTTTGGTTTTTTGTGCATATTTTATTGACCATTTTATATTATGGTTTTGGTAAATTTTTTCAAAAATAGTCTATTATTAAAGTAAACCTTTCTTAGGGATGAATTTTTAAAAATTCTAGATAAATTGAGAAAAAGAACAGGTGAAGTGATAAATTCATGAATGACAATTTAGAAAATGAAATATACAAATAGTTTCTTGATATTTACTGCCTCAATATTGAAATTTTAAAAGGATATGGCTGGATGATATCTCTTCAGAGGATGGATAAAAGTCAATTCAATATCTTCTCAACTGTAATAGATTTTATTTTTATAATAACTTTTCTTTTAATACCCAACAATATTCTTTTTCAATTTACAATTTAAATTTAATTTCCTTCAAGCATTTTAAAACTCTAATCTAAAATCTAATCTAATTCTATTTCACAAATTTCCTAAATAGTAATTTAATAAAATTTTAACTTAAAAAGAAATATTTTTTAAAAAAATACCTTTTTAAGTTGCAAAACAGTGTAATAGTGAATTTTTTCCTTAATTGTATCTTCCTAGTGATGCTTTAGAAATAAAAGTTTTCTCAACTATCCTAGAAATTATAATCTCTTTGTTTCGAATTGTTTTTTTTTCTCGCTCGTAGTTGGATTTTCTGTCTGTTATACGGGTAATAAAAGGAATGGAGAAGTGACTTTAAGAGAAGGGAAAGAAGTTTTCACAGAAAAGAAACAAATGGATAAATGTCTAAAGACATCAAGTACGTGGTAAATAATGCATTGTTTAAAAATAAGAAATTTTTTTCCCAAGAAAAAAAGAAGAAGAAGAAGAAGGTAAATTTGGCCTTTAGAGATGTCCATCTTTGGAGACCATTCTAGAAAAAGAAGAATGTCTCCAGTGAATTGAAAAAAATCCTCAACTTTTCACAATGTTCAGACAACTTTTCACGAATTCTCAAACTTTTTCCAAGATGGAAATATGTATATAATTCACCTTCAAAATTCATGAACATTTATTTTTTATTTCTCATCACAATATTTTTATAAAAATATTTTTTCTTATTGTTCTTAGAGAATGTTTTTCTCGTTTTCATTAAAAGTGTCAATCAGATTTTAAAATGTAACGATCAATGTTATATGAATAAAAAAATAATATTCAAAAAATAAATATATTTAGAACTTGAAATGAATAATAAAAATTATAAAATTTCAATTATTTTATAGAATATAAATATTTTTATTAAACATCGAAGGTATTTCGGTTAATTAATAAAATATGAAACAAATATTTTATGAATTCGGTGAATTGAAAATCTTTATAAATTTTCACAATGTATGACGTCATGTCTAATACCGCAAAACCGAATGTATAAATAAGAAAAAAACATATAAATAATATTAAAAATTATCAAAATAAACATTTTTATAAAATAAAAGGTGAAAGTGCCATTTTGAATTTTAAAAATCTGACTTTAGGTTTCTAATCAGCGACCCTAAATCTCCCTGGACACTAAGTTTCATAAAAATTCATCTAGTTTTTTAAAAAATCCACCCCATATTGAATACGCCATTTTGAATTTTTAAAAATTGACTTTAGATTCGTAATCGGCGATCCCAAAAATCCCCGAGTAACAAGTTTCAATCGAATTTGACTAATTATTTTGAATTTTTGAAAAAAATGTCCGCCATATTGAATCCGCCATTTTGAATTTTAAAAATCTGACTTCAGATTCGTGATCAGCGACCCTAGAAACTTCTAGTTATTAAGTTTCATAAGAATCCCTCTAGTGTCATAAAATTTGTCCGACATTTTGGATCCGCCATTTTGAATTTTGAAAATCTGACTCCAGGTTCATAATCAGCGACCTTAAAACCCTCTAGATACCAAATTTCATAAAAATTTAACTCGTTTTTTAAAAATTGAACCGCCATATTAAATCCGCCATTTTGAATTTGAAAAATCTGACTTCAGATTCGTAATCAACTACCCTAGAAACTCCTAGATATTAAATTTCATAAGAATCCCACCAGGGTCATAAAATTTGTCCACCATATTGGATCCGCCATTTTGAATTTTGAAAATCTGACTTTAGATTCGTAATCAGCGATTAAACTTCTTTCAAAATTTCACCCTTTATATTTATATCTTTTGCAATAAATAATTTTTATTATATTAAGGAAAATACCACGTAAGGTAGATTTTAACTTCTAAAGCTCAACAAACAACTCAACTCCTTCTTAACACATCCTGTAACCGTCAGCATACACACCGAACGGTAACTGATTGTTGCCGGAATTACAAACTCATAAGACATCAATCTTCCTCACACACAAGTACTTTCGTGGTTAGATAGCATCGAAACTAACAATACAGAATAAGTAGGTGCTTTAATCAGTTCGCCAAAATACAAAAATTTTATCGCTAACGCACAGAAAATGAAAGCTAATTTGCCAAGTTGATGAAAAGTTCATTGCTCTTTGACCTACTTTTATATAAGAAAATATTTTATTACAAAAAAAGTCAAATGAAGACTTTTTCAATAATCCAATACTCCCCTTTTATAAGGGGATTATATACCTAAATATGTATAATTTAATACACGATAAGATTAGTTATAGAAAAGGAATATTCTCTTTTTGTAGAAATAGGTCTCTAGCAGGGTTGAAAAAAACGGAAGTATAGATAATGATTTCAATGAGATTGAAAAGAATAACTGATCTGAAAGATAAATCTTCAAAGTTAGATTTATAAATACTAGACAAATTGCGCGCTAAGGGCATTTTTTCTTCTCTCTTTTCTTAATAATTATTTAGAAACAAAATATAGAATCCTAGACAATTAGACAAATATAATTCTAGACAAAATTTTGTGTCTGTTTCTTGTGCATAGGAACTTTTAGAAAATCTGCTTACACCTTGGATTCCGCAATCTAAGATTATGTGGGGTTGGTATAAAAGGAAAAATAATTAATAAATAAAATAATTTAACTTAAATACCTGGCGATTGGCCCCAACCCTAAAAAATCCGTAAACCTTTACCATTCTGTCCACACTCGGAACTATCGTAAGACTTTTGCCTTCCTTCAAGGATGGCGCTCCATCTCATACGACTTTCTCCAATCCCTGCGGATATCCTGCGTCAATAGTTAAAAGCGGAATTTACAACACTGCAAATTAAAATGAAATAAAAGTAAATAAAATCAACTAATAAAAAAAATGTCAACAGTAAACTCTCCATTTAATGAAAATTACATTTTTCTTTTTTTTAGGTAACGATATTTCTTTCATTCTGTTGCCAAAACAAATAACAAGAATGTCTTCCTTTACCTAATTTGCATATCTATTGTTTTCATATAAGGATTGTAGTTTGAAACCCTTCTTGCAGTTTATTGAGTAACCAGAAGATACCAATTCGTATCTTTTAGCTTATTCTTATGAAACAAAAATTGTTTTGTGTTTTTTATCCTGAATTTATAAAATTCTGATTCTGCTAGCTAGTCTACGACTTTCTGGAATCCCTGACGATATCCTGCGTCAATAATTTAAAAGCGGAATTTAAAACAACGAATTAAAAGTATAAACTGTACTAATTGTAAGAATGATAGTTTAAAATCATCATTTAAATAATGATCAGTTAAGTATAATTTCAAGAATAAACTATTGATAAGAAAGAAACAAATCAACTATAAGAACCTTTTAAATTGTGAACAATATATTTTACTTATATTATATTTATTACCATAAACAATATGAATCCTTGAACAATAGCTTTTGTAAATGAGGATTAACTCCGAGAACCCGGGTAATATTTTCTTTCTCCCTTCATCGCATGGAAGACTATAGATAAAAGACTAAAAGTACAAGTGAAGTAGTTAAAATTATCAAACTTATTATATTAATTAAGTGTAATAAAGTAATATTTTTCATGTTTATTTAATAATAGTTTGTGTATGTATGTGTTTTTATAATTAAGTATAATTGAATTTTTTTACAATTAATCGCTGATAGATTTGAGAACACTTTGAGCAATGAAATCACTTTGAATATAAATGAGTTCAAGAAATACAATATCAAAATGTATTGTAGTAAATTAAATTTTTATTTAATTCTTTCCTATTCATTTTTTAATTGATTTTAAATGGAGAAGCTTCGTTGTTTTGATGTGGATTTTTTTTGTAGTATTGTTTATAACAATTAATTATTATATAGTGGGGGTGACAATATTCCTTTAGAAATATGTATGTTTATTTTTATTCTTAAGGGTACTATATAAGCATGTTTCTTTTTAATTTCTACTTTTTCTCAGCCTTTATAAAAAAATGTTGGGGTTAGAGAGGAATAAGGAACTTTTCATGTTTTTGTAGTGCCGGATCATATAAGACCACGAGTCCACAGTTTGCCTGAAAAGGCATACAACCCACGAGCAGGGGATGATTTGTATAGACTGAGGGCTTTTAGTATCACACACAAAGGTGTCGTAAATCGTGGGGATTCCATCATTTCCAGGCGCAGTAGAAGCAACACTTCCGTTAATAGTAGTCGGTAAGTAAATACTTATATTTTTCTATTTTCATATCATTAATAATATTTTTATTTGAAGTAGATGAAAAGTTTCGATACTTGTAGTGTTGACAAACGTTAACAACTTTTTAGATAATTTTTATTTTACTTTCGAAAGGTCGTTAGCAACCTACGTTTTTAACAAATAAAGTGTAGTCAATTGAAATTCGAACGAACTTTATCAAATACAAATTATAAATCCGGATTTCTTCTAGAATTTTAACTTAATCCTGTCGTCCTTGACTTTATTATCATTTAAGATAGACATATATTATGTCGTCAATCTAATCCTTGACCTGATCGCGAATCAAAATCTCTACCTATTTATCGTTACCTTTAGAGACTCCGCATCCAATCCTACGAACCGTATTTTAGACGTTCAGATAAATTTTCAAGTTTGGAAAAAAATTCTCCCAGTAAATGTATTTTTAGAAACATGTCAAACCTTTTGAAATCTAAGAACCATTGGGATGTAATGATAAATGAGCTAAGGAAAATTATGAATCATTTTTCGACATATAAATTCATCTTCCTTTAATGCAAACACCTCTCTATGAAAGAAATATAGTTTCAAAGAATTCAAAACTAATAATTTTTATCAAAAAACCCATTCGATAAAGAAAATTATTTTAAAATAAAAATACATTTTTTATCTCCAGTATAGTTATTATTCTAGTTAGAATTATTATATAGCCTAGTCATTATTTTTTCTGTTTTCCATGGCGAATATGGGTGACTTCGATTTTTCCCCCTTTACGTAGAGAGACTTCATTCATAAAAGTATTCATAACAATGAATATGAAATAACAATGTAAATCAAGTGTTCAAGGTAGAAAAGTTAGTGAAACAATTGTCCGTGTGGGTATTTTACAACGCCTAATCTAACTTTTAATGAGGTTTCAATCTAATCATAATGTAATCATCATAACTATATGAAGACAATAATATTTTAAAATAGAAATTTATGTATCAGCGCTAATAAATGCGTCTATATTTTTAAATTAATGATCAATTTGAATTTATTATAAAAATGTCTTTTCATTGGCATAACAATACTGCGCACTCGAATGTTTAAAACAGGTATTTTGGAAATCAATAACACTCAATCGCGTCGAGAATGAATTGTCTGAGCCCTCGGGCCTTTTCCTATAAAAAAGGTAATCTGGCCTAGAGTTCTGCAACAAAAAAAAGTAAGATTAATGTTTTTTCTCAGTTCTGGAAAATTTCATTTCTGCCCTATCCTTTTCAGCTTCATTAAAACTTTTTATTTGATTGCGGTTTTTTTCAATTTTGTAAAATATATTTTTTTTATTTATATGATGAAGAAAAGTCACGCAGTCTTATGGTAATGTAAAACCTAAATTTTTTTAAAATGAAATTCACAAAGGTATTTGACCATCAAGATTATAAATTTGTCTCTTTCTCTCAGTCATGAAACTTTGGAAATTGTTAATTAGCTTCCACTTAATTCAAAATGCGTCTAATTTTCTTTGAATGGATAATTTGTAATGGCAGAGTAATTCCAAGCTGAGATATATTCACAAAAAGCTATTCTTCATATTCTTCTATTATTTCCAACTGCTCCTGAACCTAGATTTTTAACTAATCGCTCCTTAATTTGTGTTTAACGACTTTTCGCAAACTTTTTACGAAAGTTCTCTAATTGCACTCCACAACTATTGTTGGAAGGAATTGTACTCACTGAGATCGAAAAAGGATTCTTTCACAAATCACAGGGTTGTAGTTAAGAAGACTAAAAATAGACAAAGTTGTTGAAATAATTGTCGTTGATAATTTTCACTTTGGGGTTGTAGATCCTATCGAGAGATTGCTTTTTGATGTTACCAGTAGTAGAGGATTGAATCGTGTCAGTTAATTTGAATATAGGAGATATATTTCATTTCTAAATAAGATAATCTAATAGATAGTGTAATTAGGTAGTCTATCTGAATTGTAGACTATCTTAGAATCTTCTAGATTAGGATTAGTTAAAAGTAAACTTTTCACTGGGAGGAGAAAGATCCCTTGACAAGAATTAGATATTCCCCTCTTCAAACAAAACTAAAGGATCTCTTCTAACATACACAGGAAAGCATTCAATGAAGCTAGGGTGGAATTGCTTATATAACAGGATGGAGTCTGTAGCGGAAGTCCTAACATCAGTCTCCTGAGATCGAATTACTTCGATGTGACAACACATCGAATGGCAATGGTATGAAATCGATCCATCGGATAGTGAGCTATTGACGTTATTTGTAAACACGTATTGATGATTCATGATGAGTTAAATATTAGGTCAACTATCAACAAACTGACAATGACAATTAATCAACCTCCGCGAAGGATTATTCAACCATTACCACTCCTGGAACACGGATCATTTGTAAGCAAGAAAGAAGTAAGAATGGAATGACCATTCAGTGACAATGAAGTCTTCTATTTAATTCTGGAAGCTGTACCATGGTTTTTGACTATTCAATTATAGGAATGTACCTTAAAGGGTCTGGGTCCGTTAATTCCTTGTTGATTCCTTGAGGATGCTAACGGAGAGAATAAATCCCCTTCATGGATGCTAGCACAAGGTAGACTATGTCCAGAGTTCAAGAAGATTAATGCCTGATGAAATGGAGAAGCAGTTAGTTGCATTCGTATTGACCCAGATAATACCCCTTCGCAATGGTGGTAAATTAGTGAGGACTAGCCTCGTGCACTACCAGCGGGGACCTCGTGGAGGTTCTGCTTCCAAAACGTAACCTCTGTACGAAACATGTGTAATTTCAAATGAAAGAAGAAAAATAACCACCAAATAGTATCACCTAGTCGACTTTTAGGACACGAATTGAGTTGCGGATTAACTATTCCCTTTGTTGGCTAAACACGGTCCTCAATGATGGGACCTTTTTGAGAAAGTAAAAGCAAACATGAGCATCAGATCTGGAACCAACAATTACATCGCATATTTCCTGACTTAATTCTAGGGATAACTTTGAAAAAAGTTTAAGGACACGTTGATCCAGTTAGACATTGAAAGCCAGTTTTCACGTTGCTAAACTCTTCAGGTGTCTTTATCAGTGAACCTATGAAAAACAAACATACGATAGTTCTAAACACTGTTGGTGCTGCGGTAAACCAGGACGTTCTCCCAAAAGTTGCAGACACAAACCACTAAACTTCTGTTCCAGGCGTGGCAAACTTGGTACTCTGACCAAAGATTGATGCAACAAGAATTAAGTTCCCCGAACTTTATTTCCACCCTCTCTCATTTATCACTTCTTGTCCATTGCCATGAATCAAAAAAACTAAACATTCCAGTTTCCTTAGCGTCAATTATCCACATTCATTCCACTCGATTATGCAAATAAAACCGTATGATTACATTCCTGACAAATTTGAGTTCTAGGTAAACAGGTGATCAGACAAAACTCTTAGATCTAGACTAATAGTAAGCGACTAATTTCTCAAATCCTCTCTAATAAAAAATCTCAATCGTGCTACTCCGTAAGAATTTGTACTATTCCCCATCAGCTAGGAATAACAATCGGAGTCCTGTTAGTATTCTTGATCGTTTACGATAAATCGATCTCCATTCTCCACGAAATCTATACCCTCGTTAAATTTCCCCAATCCGGGAATTTAGTTCCAGAGCAGTTTTCAAAAAGTATTTCAATCGAGAACCTGGTGGACAGAAACTAAAATTAACCAAAAACTACCAGCGGTTTTTATGTTAGCTAATTTTTTACTTTATGCCTGTCGAAACTTTAAATAGCAGTGACAAATTAATAAATTCAGAGTATCCATTAAAATTTTACTATCACAATAATTGGACCCGTTTTAAGTGAATATAAATTTTCTTTTCCATTTTATTACCTCGCTTGACATCTCAATTGTCCATCTGCTCCATGGAGATAATCCTCTTCATCTAATTTTACGACAATACTCAAATTGGAAATACACGTTGACGTTCATAAAATTTTATAATCAAAGCTTACTTTTAGAGAATGTTTCATGGTATTAAATAATTCACAAATAATGAAAATTCTGTTAACAATTATTTAAAATACTTAAAAATGATTATATAAATTGTTTTACAATGCTTATTTCTATTTAATGTTTATTGTTTTACAAACAATTCGTTCTGCATCACATAATTTGTGATGTAGAATACATTGTTTAAAAATTTTCTCTTTAAAATGAATTTTTTTTGTGTCTTGAAATTGAATTATGAGTATTATTTGATGGACACAGAGGAATTTAACTCGTGTGAAGGGCGCAACCACCATAAAAAAAACGTAGCGTGCCTTTTATAGGGTCACTGAGATTTTCAGCTTTGATATGAGAGTTTAGATTAAATATAGGTACGTTCTTTCGGAAGCGGCATACTATAAAAATATCCCTAGTCCATCTTATCGGAATATTTATTTTCTTGACAAATGAATTAACTTGATAGATTCACTATCTAATTGACCTTCGCGAATGTTAAATATAAATTTAAATTATTTTAAAAAAATTAAATTAATTTTAAAATTTATTAAATTTTAAAAAATTACTTATGAATTCGTTAGTTAATAAATTTTAAGTATTAAGGTAGTTTTAAGTATTTAAGGTAATCCTTAAGGGGTCAGGTCACTGTGGTAGGACGTAATAATATTAATAAATATTCTTACATTTAATTCCAAAAAATAATAATAAAATGAAACAGATTTAAAAATTAAAGATGACAAAGGAAGGAGTATTAGTTTCTAGAAGTACAGGTATTTTATAGAGAGGACTAAAATACAGTGAATTCCGAAGGGATTTCTCACCACCGAAGGTAATGAAATACGGAAATTGCGCTCGATGGTTTAGTAATTAAGGCAAATTTTCTGGGTTTGAATTTCCAGCTTTATTTTTCAATTCTTCTTCAGGACATTGAATTTTTATGATACAAAATTTAAAAGTAAGAAATTAATTATAAATCTAAAATTATACTCTAATTGTTAGTT